GCTCATCGCCGGCAAGTCCCCGTGCCCGGTGCTCCGCTGCCCGGCCGAACCCTGGCGGTGCCAGGAAGGGTGCTCTGCCCCATCGCCCACCCCGTGCCACGGGGTCCTGCTACCACCGACCCCAAACCCTCCCAGAGACCCCAACACCTCCACGCTGTGCTGGTCACCCATCAGCCCTGGCTCCCAGGGTGGGATGTGGCCCTGGGGTGGGACCCCATAGACACCGGGCTCTCGCGCACCTGGGACACGGTCCGCCTCTGGCTCTGAGGAGACTGGACCCTACACATTTTGGGATCCTCCACACCTCAGGCCCCATAGACCTCCCCACAGCCACCGCGCCCGGGATCTTTGCACCCCATACACCTCCGGCATCACCCATGCAGGACCCCAGGAGCCTGAACCCCCCCTGCCCCATACACCCCTCACGCCCAGTACACCCCAGACCCTCCACAGCCGGGACTCCGAGCGCCCCGTTGCAGCTCAGACCCAACACACACCACATCCCACACAGCTCAGACTGGGACCTGGGTGCCCTATACACCCTATATGCTACGTGCACCCCAAAGACTCCATATGCCCTTTATGCCCCGGACCCCATACAGCCTCTGCATGCCCTGTATGGCTTGGACGCTGAGAAGTCTGGACCCGGGGTGCCCTATAGACTCCATACGGCTCAGATCCTGCACAGCCCAGACACGGGGTGCCCTATAGATCCCATACGGCTCAGATCCTGCACAGCCCGGACCCGGGGTGCCCTATAGACCCCATACGGCTCAGACCCTGCACAGCCCAGACACGAGGTGCCCTATAGGCCCCATACGGCTCAGATCCTGCACAGCCCAGACCCGGGGTGCCCTATAGACCCCATTCGGCTCAGACCCTGCACAGCCCAGACCCGGGGTGCCCTATAGACCCCATACGGCTCAGACCCTGCACAGCCCAGATCCGGGGTGCCCTATAGACCCCATACGGCTCAGAATCTGCACAGCCCAGACCCAGGGTGCCCTATAGACCTTATACAGCTTGAACCCTGTGCACACCAGGCTTGGGGTGCCGTATAGACCCTGCACTGCTCAGGTGGCGCATAGCCGGGACCTACCTGGGGTATCCCTATAGACTCCGTACATCCCGGATCTGGGGACACCCGTCCCCTGGGGCACCCCTGTGGGCTCTGAACACCCCAGATTCAGGGACACCCCTCAGCTGGAGCACCCCTATAGACTCTGTACATTCCAGATCTGGGGACACCCCTCACCCGGGGCACCCCTATGGACTCTATACACCCCAGATTCAGGGACACCCCTCCCCTGGAGCACCCCTATGGACTCTGTACATTCCAGATGTGGGGACACCCCTCACCCGGGGCACCCCTATGGACTCTATGCATCCTAGATAAGAGGACACCCCTCCCCTGAAGCACCCCTATGGACTCTATACCCCCCGGGTTCAGGAACACCCCTCACCCGGGACACCCCTATGGACCCGGTACACCCCGGATCGGGGGACACCCCTCACCCGGGACACCCCCCCAGACTCCGTCCACCCCGCTCGCCGCCCGGCGGGTTACCTGCTCCTCGCCGGGCTCCATCTCCCCCACGTAGTACTGCTCCAGCCAGCGGCGGGCGTTGGCGGAGTGGCGGTG